CCGCACCCCTACCACGCGGCCCAGGGCCGCCCTGGGCCGGTTCTCACTCTCCCAGGCCTCGGCCTCCTCAGGGCTCCAGGCCGCCGTCACCGGACTGCCCACCGGGCCCGGCAGCCCGGTCACCACCTCCTCCAGCCGGGACCTCTCACTTTGGCTTTTGAGCCCCAAACCTGCAAGGGGAGAGGAGGCCACCTCTTCAGGCCTACGTGATCTGGGGTCAATGCAGAGGCCAGGGCAAAATTTAAAAAGTTTGGGGAAAAGCTCCCTGGCTTTCAGGCTCAGACAGTCCTGGGCTCACATAGCCCAAGCCTCAGTGTCCTCATCTATAAAATAGGAAGATGACAAAATGCCAACAGAGAAGCAGTTCCCAGCAAGCCTCAAGGAGGCCTCTGGGCGGGTCCTGCCTGCAGAGACACCGACTACTACCTGGGACAGTCATCTAACCCACCTGTACCCTGCTGGCCACACCAATCCAATGTCCCCCTCTGAACCCTGGCTATTCAAACTCCCAAACTTAACAGATTCAGGATAATTTTGAAAATTATCCCAACCCTTATGGTTGGAAACTGAGGAACCAAATGGTTCTGGCTAGGCTGGTTCTCCTCACTTGGGATCTAGTCCTCCAAATTCAAGGACCCAGCAGATCTGGATGGGAGAATCCCAGCACATCCTGCTGGGTAGGTAGATTGAACTAGATGGTCCCTAACAGTGCTGATAAGGGGCTTGGCTTAGAGAGGGACTGGGTAAGTGCGGCCTCTAATGAGCAGGGGCCCAGACTGGTGAGCAGCTGGGGCTCCCGTCAACACCCCTGCACCTGATCACCTGAGGGGACTTCACAAGCCCACCTGACCTGAGTACTGGCTCTGTCCTTTCAGCATCCACTGACCTCTCTGAGTCTCAGGCCCCCTGTTTGTAAAATGGGGACCACACCTCTATGTATTGGGTTGTGAGAATCAAAGGAGAAGATGCCCTTTCGAGTGTGCAGCCTGGGACTGGCACCGCTCTGGCAGGTGCCATGACTGGCACCAGTGTGCAGCCTGGGACTGGCACTGCTCTGGCAGGTGCCATGATGCATGTGTAGAGACACAGAAAGACAAACGCCGGCCCAAAAAGGGAGTCACACAGGAGGAAACCTGGGGAAGCTCACTCTAGAATCAGATAAGGATGGGGGAAAGGAAGACTGCAGCCCCAGAAGGATGAGGGCGGCCTGCCTGGACCCCAAAGGTCCAGATGCTTACCCAAGGTAGTGTTCCGGGAGTTCTCCCGCTTTATGTCCCAGAAGAGATCCCTCTGAGCAGGGTCCAAGGTGCCCCATTCTTCCCGGGAGAAATAGAATGGGATGTCTCCTACTGCCACAGGTCCCTGGAACGAAGCAACAAGACCCAGCTCAGGGCCACCTGCTCAGGCCTCCCAGTAGCCATGGGCAGGGGCAGGATAGTCAGGTGAAAGGCCTTGATGGGAAGACAAAGCCCATTTTAGTCTCAACAGTGCCAAGGGCCTTAGAAAGGACAAAGGGATTAGTAACTCACATGGACCCCAGAAGCAAAGCAGGCATCTGTCGTCTCTCTGGCACGCCCCTCTTTAAGAAGAGCAGGAAGCTGGACTGAGGGAAGAGAAGGAAGCCTCAGAAAGGCTGGCCCATCCTGAGATCGCGACCTTACAGTGCCCCTGTGCATGCAAATGTACACCTGCCCTGGGCTTCACGAATGGAAACACCCTTTCTGTGACCCTTAGGCCAACACATGACAGAGCTGGGCCCCTGCCCAGCCACTCTGCCACCAACAAGGAAAGGCTTACTCACCATCATGGCTGTGCTGCTCCTGGGGTGCAGGTGGCTGACTCCGTGCCCCTGCCAGAGGGGAAGGCCCCATGGCCTGGGATCCCTGGGCTGCAGCCTCGGGCTCCACCTCCTCTGAGGGCACATCCTGTGCAGGAACCACAATATGCTCATCAGCACCGAGACCCGACCGGGGGAGACAGAGTTTTATCCCTGGGAAGGAGACACAGGACACATCCCTCAGGAGGCTGGGGTGTGGAAGGAGATCAATGTGGAGCCCCAAGAAAGTCTGGAGGAGGACGTGATACCCCACAGCGCTGTGTGCTCAACGACATTCCCCACTAATCACGAGGCAAGAACCAGCCCTCAAAGGCCAGAATCACAGCCACTGAGCAAGGAGGGTTGGAGACCCTCTTGCCAAGGACAGAACCCCACACCCCAGCCACTTGTTAGCACCTCCCTGGATGCTTCCAGTGTCAAGGACCCAAGGCCTCATGAGATAGCAGGGGCCCATGGTCAGCCCCACCTTCTCACTCCCTCTGGTGCTGACCCTACGCACATCACTGTGACTCCAGAGCCTGGC